TGGTGATACCAGATATCCACTCCTTACTTTTACCACGGCTGCTCACGTGTGGGTCGTTATACTCGATACGGCCATAACACGCAGTGGTGCCTAGCTAGTTGTCTCACCACGTTGCATGTCTCGGTAAGCTTAGAAAAGTCACTCATTTGCTTTGCCGCATGACATGTTGCTTGAAAGTGACGTGAGCTACTTCATTTACCAGTAACCTTCTCTCAGATCTTTTGTTTTCTGATGATTTTGAATAAATGGGATTGTTCAGGAGTCTGCTGGATTGAAAGGAGTTCAGAAAGCGGATTTAACACAAACTTCCGAATAGGAGGAGTGATCCGTTCGTAAATATGTCACTGCCACATCTGCTATTGTCCACGTTCGAAATATCTGCTATCTCACGTATTTTCTTCTATTCTTAAACCCAATATTCATGCATCCCGTAGCTGTTTGCTGTTGCTGACGTTGCTATTCCAGGTGTTCACTAGTCCGTTGTAGTAAATCCTAGGTTTATTTCTCAATTAAACGTCCAACATTTTAAGTAATGTCAACAGTGTTCCTTCATTTTTCGCTCGAATCGTTTCCAAGGCATGAACTTGAACTTCTCCTGTACTTAAACCTAGGACCTGCAATACGATAAACATTTTAAAATATGAAAATAGTTTCGTTTTTGAAAATATGACATCCCACACGCCGGAAACTTACCAAATAAGCGATCCCCTTCGAAGATTTGTTCTCACTTTTCTCAAGCCATATCTTAGTGTTCGTTACCTTCGATTGTTGGATCTGGAATAAGCGAGAAACGTTTACGTTCAAGTGCAGTTAGGGAACAGTTAGCGGTTCATTCAAAAAGACCAGGAGAATCCATCAGGGATATGCATACCCTTTGCACAGGGCCTGGGTGTTGAAGCCCCGAGTGGACTAGCATATCTATGATCCAAGGATCGAATCCCGGACTGTATCCGCTAAGGTCAAACATGCTTCCCATCCCTGCGGGTTTGGCCAGTTGGTACCAGACCCGTCTGATAAGATAAAAGCACTGAATTATCCATTGGCACCGGCCACCGCCTGTCAACGGATAGGCTACATGCTCTTTAAATCGCTACCACGATCCTGAATGGAAGTCAAGTTTGAAACGCTCCCCGAAATAAGTCTCACCAACGTCTAACAACTTTGAAAACCCCGTTCAGATGAAGTTTGGCGGTAGAAACGAGGCAGGTAGAAGTGCTCATTTCTACTGAGAACCTCGATCAGGGGCTCCAACGTAGGAACCGGGTCCATATGCCAAAGTAGACATCCTGATTCGATTTAGTTAGCA